CGGGCTAAAGTCACCCCATGTATTAGAGTAAACCTTTTTTAGTGATCATTTATAGATATTATGGTAGTTACTATGTTGGAATAAAAAATTTCGTAGTAGTAATGCAATATTGAAAAGTATGGTGGTAAAAATGTTAAAAAGTATGGTGGTCAGCAAATATTTACATCAGAAGAAGAAGACATGTTTGAGGCATATGCAATAAAATCATCTGAGTTTGGTTTTCCTGTTGATAAATATGATTTAAGATGCATAGTAAAATGGTATTTAGAGAAAAAAGGCGTAATTATACCTCAGTTCAAAAATAATTTTCCTGGTGGCGATTGGATTCGATCTTTTTTAAAAAGAAATCCAGAACTCACAGTAAGATTTGCAAGTGAAAGAGAGCAGAAATAGGAACGACTATGATTGATAACTACTTTATAAATCTATCAAATGAAATAAGTAATATATCACCTGATAATATATGAAATTATGATGAAACCAATCTCAGTGAAACCAATCTCAATGAAACCAATCTCAGTGATGATCCAGGTAAAAAAAAAAAAAATTAACAAAGCGTGGATGTAAGCATCCTGAACGCATCATTAATTCTACAAAGACCTCATTCTCTGTAATGTTTTGTGGCAATCCTAATGGTGAATTGCTACCACCTTATGTTGTTTACAAAGCTGAGTCAATATGGAATACATGGATGGAACATGGGCCACCAAAAGCTCGTTATAACAGATCAAAAAGTGGTTGGTTTGACTCAACATGTTTTGAGGATTGGTAATTTTGTGATTGCCAAACTTCAATCCAATGTTATTGTCAAATCCTATGTTATTGTCAAAGCAATAACATAGGATTTGTGGCATTACCAGCAAACTCTACACATCTCACGCAGCCATTAGATGTTGCCTACTTTAGACCTATGAAGATTAACTGGCGCAAAATATTATGTGAATGGAAGGAGAAAGGAAAAGGAAGAAGAGTTGCTTCTCTTCCTAAAGATGAATTTCCAAGACTTTTAGACCGTTTAATTACCAACTTAAGTGAACATGGGAATGATAACCTTAGAGCTGGTTTTCGCAAAACTAGAATTTTTCCATTAGACAAGTCTCAAGTGCTTTCATGACTACCATGTTGATAACCTTAGAGCTGGTTTTCGCAAAACTGGAATTTTTCCATTAGACAAGTCTCAAGTGCTTTCACGACTATCATGTTGTAATGTAGGTTTAGACTCAACTACTGATTTAGTTAGCCAATCATTTAAGATCATTTATGTAAGTCACTGGATGATCCCTCAGATTGTTCTAAAAAACCAAAGCGACGTAAAGTATGTGTTGTCCCAGGTAAAAGCTTATGTTCAACAAATATACCACCTTCTGTTATAAATAAAAATAATAGATTAAATTCAAATAATGTATATACACCTATCAGTATTATAAATACAATTGAGACCAACAACATTGACTTTGCTGGTCCAAGTACATATACTGGAACTACTGAGACTTCTAATCTAATTTTTGCAGATGTAAGTTTAGTTGTAGAAAGTCATACAGTATCTTTAGATCATTCAGCATTAGGCAAAAAGAACTTTCAAAATATTGATAAAACAAAAAATGCTTGTAAAAAGGAGAAATTATTAAATCTTGTAGAGAATTGTTATGTAATTGTTAAATGCAATGGGGAGTTAAATCCTGGACAGATTTGTTTATTTATTTTTAGTTATTTATATTTAGCTAATCAATTAGTAAACTTTATAACTAATTAATTTAATAACTAATATTATTTAATGAAACTTTTGAAATTTTTTTAGTAACCATGCAGTTATTTACTGCCAACAACTATCGTAGTACTGTCGACATTCCTAAAATAATGAATGGAAACCCTCTCACTGAGTCTTCTTTTTTACGTCTTCTTGGATTATCATTCATTATTGTTCATTATGTGTTTATTTATAAATGACATAATAAAATTTAAATGGTAATATTTAATATATATATATATATATATATATATATATATATATATATATATATATATATATATATATATATATATATATATATATATATATATATATATATATTATATATATATTAAATATTACCATTTAAATTATATTATTATATAAATAAATATATATATATATATATATATATTTTTTGTTTCATATAAATATATATATATATATATATATATATATATATATATATATATATATATATATATATATATATATATATATATATATATATATATATATATATATATATATATATATATATATATGAAACAAAAAATTTAAATCATGTTACTGCAATAGGCGTATTCGCAATCTTGTAATGAAAAAAAAGGAAATGAAAGTTGAACCTAGAGAACAGCCAAGACAAGTAATGCTCAAACATAATACTGTTAGTAGAGAAAATGATATGACCCAAATGGAGGAGGTTGGTTGTATTGCTTCAGTTACATCAGGAGATAATAAAGCTTACTCAATAAAAGTTAGAATGATAATCTATAGCATTTTATTGTGTAATGTTCCAACAGGTAACATTCCAATCCTATTGGAAAAAACTGCACAATATTTTGGTGTTGGTTTGTTGCATATTCCCAAGCGTATTACTGTTGAGCAAATGGCTTGTGAGCTTAGTTGCATATCTGACATGCAAGCTGCAGAGTGGGCCATCTGCAATACAAATCTTACTGTTTGGTTTTACACCACCATGCAAGAAGGTGTTCATATTAATAGTGTCCACTTAACGTCAAAAAATAGATGTCAGGTCATTGCTTTGGACCAATTGCCTGAAGGGATGTCTGATGATTATGAAAAACATATAGGTAATGCAGTGGACAGTATGGCTTCAATTTATTCCAATTTTCAACACAACTGTATTTTGTAACACAACTGCTATGAAACAAATGTGTATTCTTGGTTTATTTGGAAAACTTGTCACTGGGCCATGGATGACTAATTTTGATTTGATAGTGATAAATTAAGATAGTGAAGAGTTGATGGGTATGTTTAGTGAAGCATAAGGGAGATCCCCTAATGTATTTTATATAATGTATAATGTATCTTATATATCTTGCAAATTGCGATTTAAAAAGAATATGACTGGATTATCTTGATAGTCTTGACCAAATAGAGAGAGAAAATGTAGTTAAGTGGTCTATTAAAGCAGCTCGTATAAAAAGAATTAGCAAATTATACTGCATTACGAGCAGAGATTTAAAAAAGACAGGCATGCAAAAAGCAAAAAATAAGCGGAAAAAAAAAAAGGAAATTGGAGCAAGAGCTGAGTTAATTTAATTTTAATTTAATGAAATAAAGAATTTATATGAGCACTTGTCTACTAAGCAACTTGATGACATGATTTAATGTATGAAAGAATTGTTGGAAGAGAACTCTACCAAGAATGGTTTGATACAGGTAGTAGCAAGTCTGTCATTTATGATGGGAAAGTAGAAAAAGTCAATAAAAGAAAAGAAGACAGAATTTATACTATTTCCTTCTGAAAAAAAGATGAAACTGTTGACCATTGCATGTAAAAATTTCAACTTGCTGCTGATATTGTATCAGGAGAGTTGATATTTTCTTAATTTAATATGCTTTAATGTTACTTAATATTATTGTGCTTTAATGTTATTGTCTAATAGAAAAAGAAGTATTGCATGTGGTGTGACTTGCAATAAGGTATTGAAAAAAAAGATGCTTTGTTGCATCTAATGTGGTGAGATATTTTTTAAAATTGTTTTTGTTGTTTTAAATAGCATTTTTTTTTTTCGTAATTGCAATTTTTTCCTTGTTTTGATAGACAACTGATATACAGAAAGAATGGCATCATCTTATGTGGTAAAATAATGCATCTTGTAACGTGGTAAAATATGTTTTTATAATAATTTTTATTATACAATAGCATTTAAATTTTTTTAAATTGCATTACAAAAATTTAATTCTTATTTTAGGTTGGAGGGCGTTGTGGCACACCCCACTTCCCTTGATTCTAAATGTGCACTACTAGTGTAAAGACGAGAAATTTCTGTAATTATTTAAAAAAAAAAATTTTGTATTTATTATTAGGTTTACTTTTTTTATAAAAAGATAAAAATATTTATTGAATTTTTTTTTTAGTTATAGTGTGTGTGTTAAACTGACACCCTTACACCCACCATAACACAATAATAAACTTCTCCTATTTTGCAATGGTCTGAAGAAAATTATAACTACTTCTTGCATATAAAAATTCAAAATTTCCACAAAAAATTACTCTTTTATTTATAAAAACTTGCATTTATTACCGGGTTAGTTGTTGGTTTGGTTCCCCTCTAGTTCTCCCCCCCCCCTCCTATGATACGCCCTATGGCTAGCGACCAATATAAATTTGTAGCCTATTCTAATACCTATCTTTTGATACCAAGTTATAGGCATTTAGAAAAGAATTGACAAATTTATGATGTTTTTAGTCAAGATAAATATTATTTTGACCACAGTTTCTTCAACAAATCTATAATTCGAAAATTCGGTACTTTAAAACGTTATAACTTTTTGTCAAATTGCTCGATTTTGATAATTTTTTCACTTTTAGAATACTGTATTGAAGCTCTTTAAAATGATATATAACAATCTAATGCTTAATTAATTTAAAATTTTCATGCTACGTACCTATATATATATATATATATATATATATATATATATATATATATATATATATATATATATATTGCCAAATGATCTGTTAAGCACAATTAAAATAAATATTTGAATAAAATTAACAACGCTTTTAAAATGTTTGTTGTACATGTTTCAAACTACTACGATGGATAGTTCAAAACATGTATAACAAGCATTTTAAAAGTGTTGTTAATTTTATTCAAATTTATATATATATATATATATATATATATATATATATATATATATATATATATATATATATATATATATATATATATATATATATATATATATATATATATTATATGTATATATATAATTATTTTTAGATGGTAAATTGTATTACATAAAATCATCTAAGAAGCTCCTAGTAATTTTAACAGATCATGATAAAAAGTTGTCTTTCAGAGATATCTATAATTCTGATCACGGGGCACATGTTGGTCTGAATAATACTAGAGCTAAACTAAAAAGTTCTTTTTACTGGCTAGGTTAATTTTTTACTTAACTATAGATTTTTAAAACTAAAGTTTGTTAAGTAAATTTGAAATAAAAAATGCTAATTCATTTGCTTATGATGCTATTATATATTAAATTACTTTGTTTTTAAGGTATGGTTAGCGATATTACCAAATGGATCAAGGAATGCGACAAATGCCAACGAATGGAAAAAATTAAAACTGTTGCGCCTGAATTAAAACCTATTAGGGTAAATGGTCAATGGGATTTTTTAGGTATTGATCTAATTGGCCCACTACCTATTACATCAAAAGGGAAAAATATATTTGAACAGTAACAGACCTCTGGAGTAAATACGTTGAAGCTTTCCCTATTCCTGAGAAATCTGCTTTGTGTGTATCTAGGTGTCTCACCACTTTATTTTATCGGTTTAGTCCTTCAAAAAAAATTCTTTCTGATCAAGGCAGAAAGTTTGTAAACAGTGTAAATGAGCTTTTGTTTTCTTTATTTAATGTCAAACACCTTATAACATCTGCTTATCACCCACAAACAAATGGGCAAGATGAAAGAACAAACCAGACTGTTAGGTCTTTTTAAAATTATGCAATGAAGCCCAGGATAACTGGGACGAGTTGTTAGAACCAGTATTATTTGGTCTTCGCTTATGTGTTCAAAAATCAACTAAGTTTTCACCATTTTTTCTAATGTTTGGCAGAGAAGCACAATTATTTTGAGCTATAGCAATGAATCCAACCAATTCAAACCTTATTGATGGTAATATTGATATTCATTCAACTGAAAGTCAAATTCAAGAAAGAATTGATTCATGTAATTAAGTCAGCATTGTGGTAAATTCAAATATTTTAAATGCTCAAACAAAAATGAAAAAGTGTTATGCCGCTAAACAGATGAAGGGTTGTAAATCATTTTCATTTAAAATAGGTGATAAAGTTTTATTAAAAAACTGCAGAAAAATTAGTCGTAATGGGAGCCGAATGGAGCACAATTGGCTTGGACCTGCTACAATCACAAGCTTTAAACAAAATGGTGCTGTTGTAACTCGTAATGGAAAAGTTTGGAGGAATGCTGTTGCTTTAATAAACATGAAGCCATATATAGAAAAAAATCAGACTTTATCATCGGCAATAATATTAAATGAACACAATTATTGTCTACCAATGAAAATTAAAATGGCAAGAAATAACAAAAATATAAAAGAACCTATAAAATCAAACAAGATACATATAGTTGACTCAAAATGCTATGTTAAAGATAAAAAAAATAAATTGATTAAAGTGGAAAACTCTTTATCTAAAAATGTATACCCTGCAATTTCTTTTAACAATAAATTTTTTTTAAACTTATCAACACAGTCAGTTAAATTAGGCCTCGATATTTTAAAAAGTCCGTGTGGTTGGTTAAATGATACATTAATAGATATAGCCCAAAGCTTCCTATCATCTCAGTTTCCTCATATTGCGGGATTTCAAAGTTCGTGTATTTTTAATAAAAATAATTCAGGGGGTTACATCCATTCAGGAAAATTTATTCAAATACTCAATGTCAGAAATTCACATTGGATACTGATAATTAATGTGTCATCTGATACATGTTTAAAATCATCAGTTTAATATTATTCTCTTTTTACCAGTTTAAAAGAAGATGTTCCATTACTTGTGCATCATGTTGCTCAATCATTATTGATTTGTGAAGATGTTAACTCTATAAGTTTTGATGTTATGAACTAAAAAAAAAACATAAATTTATTAATAGATGCTTTTGTGATAGAAAGAAGATCTATTTTCTTTTTGATGCATTCAAATGAAAGAAGGAAACTGATTTTTGTTGATAATATATATATTTCTGAAATTAGTTAATCTTGTTTAATTACTTTGCAAGTTTATAAAAAAAAAAGTTTTTGGATTTATATCTTGCAACAATAAAAAAAGTATTTTTGCTCATTTTCTCACATCTTGAACATAAAGTTTTTTTATAATTATTTTTTATAATAGTTATAAGTTTAAAGGATATTATATTTCTTTTGTATTGAAAGAAATATTCTTATTTTTACCTACCATTTTTTTATTTCAGCTGGCGTACTGTTGAAACATGGTTTTAATTTAGTAAATTTTTATGATTTGAAACTTGCTATATTAATCATAAGCCAACAGGGAAAATCTAGAACTCTACAAAATACAAGGTAAGAATAATTTGGTTTAATGGAAACATTAAACCAAATTATTAAATGGTATCTTGTTTTTTAAGAAATTAAAACTCAAAAGATTATCTAAATTTAATGTTTTTAAAGTTTAAAGATTATGCAAAGTTAATTTTTTTTCAAATTATACTTTTTATAATTGAAAAAAAAAATTTTAATCAAAGTTGTATTGTTAAAAAATACTTTGAATAGTCATTTAGCTTTTTTCTACGTACTTGGTTTCATGACTTCTTGTCGAAGTTGGCTTTCATCCCCATTTTGATTGCGGTAATAAATGTTTGAAAAGTAACTCTATAAAGGAAGTTATGAAATCCTTAACTCCACTTCACTTTCTATACACAAACACACACACACACGCGCGCGCGCACGCACACAAAAATAACAGTGGAATTGGCTGAATAAATCAATAGTTTTGATTTTTAAATTGAATTGATATTTGAACTGATATATCTTGAATCAGTCGGACTTCTAATAAAATATTTCCGCGTTTAGTTTGAAAATATCACATTCCTCCACATTTAGCACTTCTAGCAATACCAGCTGGTATAAGCTAGGTAGTTAGCAAGTTGTAGTAATCAGTTTAGCAGGAGTTTATTTAATCGTTTTTAGGAGTAGCTAGCAGTTTTAGCAAAGTGGCTATAGCGATCGGCTTTAATAATTAGAAACAAAATAAAAATTTAAATAATATAGAAAAACAATAAAAATATAAAAATTAAATCATAAATATTTGTTCATGTTTTGTACATCTTACTTATCGCTAAAATATTTTGCATATTTGCAAGGTTTGCGCTGCCATTTTTAAAACTTTTTTAACGGGTAAACTTTTTTAACGCCTACATGCGTTAGAAAAGTTTTAATTATGTTGAGAATTCACATTTTGTAAACTTTTTTAACGGCAAACTTTTTTAACGCAACACCTGCACTAACGCAATTCGTCAGGGTCAACAGATCTCACCGCATGCACTCTACGTCATACTAGTCAATATTGCAATACAAAAGGACTACACTACAAAAGCCAAAAATCCCAATCCCTATCCCAGTTTTTAATTTAGCTCCAATATTCTTAAAGATTTTTGTGAGGGTGGTGAGAGATGTACGTGGTGTATCCATAAACAAATATGTAAATACATATAAATACTAGAATACAAGAAGGGACAAACGTGTACATATGCACATATGCGCATGTATTAAAATAAATATTTTTAATGTATAGAAATAACAAAAAGCAAGTAGAAAATAGTAATTAATAATTAAGAGTTACTTACCTTTTCTTTTATGGCTGTAATATGTATTATAAATATAATAAATACCACTCATAAACATCGAAACTTAAGATGATTTGTAGTTAGTACAAAAGTAGTTAGTAGAAAATATGGTAAAAAAATGTGGTAACTCTAATAGTGTGAGAAATATAAATCTTGCCTGATAAGTAGAGTGATAAGATAAGATGAGTAGAGAATAGCTATCGCACAAAACAGACTCAGAGTAATTAAAAAATGATTAGCCAAAGATAAAAATAAACAAACATTAAATCAGTAGGCAGAGAATAGTGAGAAAATAAACAGATGAGACAATAAATGCAATTTTATACTTATAGCTTATAACTACTGATAAATGTAACGTTAAAAATGTAAAAAAAACAATCCATTCAGTCAGAATCACGTGACTATATCGCGAAATTAAAAGTAACCATATTGAGTTGGGGGAAAAACAAAGTATTCTTTTTTATAAGCAAAGCCAAGAAAACATTATTTAAGAATAACTTTCCTACAATAACTTTTAAAATCAATTAAAAGAAACAGCAAATAAATTTCTGCAAAATATAAGTCTTTTAAAAGATTTTACTTTATTTTTACATACTTTTAAATCTCTGTTTAAATAAAATGACGCCAAACATTGCTGTCTAGATATTATTCGGGTTATTTTAGGGTATACAAAAGCACTGATACTTTGATATTTAATTGCTAATAATATATTAAGATGCAAATTATTAGTAACCCGCCAGTAATAAAGTGTGTTGAACAAACATAAACATTACAAGATTTTAGGAAACCATTGCTTGCAACATACATTGCTATCTACAGCCAGTGCCGCTGAGAGGAGGGGAGGGTCGCGAGAGACAGTTTATCCCGGGCGGCAGATATCCAAGGGGCGCCAAATGAAATGTAGGTACCAAAAAAAAAAAACGTCCTTTATATATAATATATGAAAAATTTGATCAAGGCATGGCAGCTCTCGGTGGCCCTGTCTACAGCACGATTTATCGAATTCAATTTAACCACATCCTCTTAAGTACTTCTCACAAATATACGGTCTTATTCACTCATTAAAACACAAATCTGAATAAGTATATAAGGATAAGGTCAAAAAAAAATTTTGAACAAAAGTATATAATAAAGAACAAATATTTGATTTACTGATTTTAGAGACTATTGATGTAATTATAATTACAGGTGTAATTATGTAGTGCATTAGTATGTTTCGTTTGGTCATCTAGTATGGTCTTGTTATGTTATTGTTCACTTTCAAATCGGGTGAATTGAAAGCAAAACACACTCACTTCTTGCGTTTATGGGCTAGCACATCAGAACTAGATGTAAGACCTACAGAATGGATTTCATTTGATCGAATGCACACATTAGTTGAATGCACATATTAGATCGAATGCACACATAAGATCAAATGCACACATTAGGTGGTGAGAGTCAGATATAAGCCTATTGTATCTCATTGCTTGGCTATGCATGAGACCTGATGTGGTATAATGTGGGTGGTATGAACTGAAATGTAGGAGACTCATTGTGTTTGTGGGTTTTTGGTGAAGTGTCTGTATTTTTCCTAGATGGTTTTTGTAGAGAGTTAGGTCCATACAGCTAATTGAAGTATCTGAGTGGTTAAAAGTGAATTAAATGGTGGGGTGCAGGTTGTTCATAAGTGTTATAACATGTTCGAGATCTTCTATAGAGCCTGTGAATATGAAAAAAATGATGAACCTTTAGAAGAAGGTGATGTTGTGTTTGAATTGTCCAGTGATGGCTTTGTCTAATGTGCACCATGCGTGTACCCATCAATGTCCCTGTCATTTGTAAATAGTTGCGGTCGTCAAATTGGAACATCGTTTTTGTCAGAACGGCTTCTATACCATCTTTATGGGATATGTTAGTGTAAAGGGAGGTAACGTTGGTGGTGACGAAAATGCATTTGTGAGGGGGTAGTGGTTGATTTTAGAGCATGTAGTGAAATTATGTGGAGTCTCTGAAATACGAAGGAAGTGTTTTGGCTAGTGGTTGTATAAATTAGTCACAAAATATGAGAGGTAGTCTGTAGAACCATCGCAAGCAGATGAATAGGAAAGAGAGGAATTCCAATTACCTTACTGTACCTGTCCCTGCATGCTCTAAAAAATTTTATTTGTCTAGTTTTTTTCCCCGCACTTCAATCCTCTGGAACTTTCTCCCATCTTCATGGTTTACTGACTCATAAAACCTTCAAATTTTTAAGTCTTCTGTCAACCGTTTCTTTGCTCTATAACTTTATTCTTTTTTTCTAGTAACTTAATAATATATTAAAGTTTGGGTACATTTAAAAAACACAACTACCCTAACGTTGATGAAGTGTTTTAACATCAACATCTTCCAGCTGATAAATAGAAAACATATTGTTTATAACTTTATGTTTTTTGAATAATCCCCAATTTCCTTTGGAAAAGCAAAGTTTTCATAAAAATTATTTTGTTCAATACTCAATTTAAAAACAAGTTCTATTTATTTCTCAATACATATAATAAAATATCTTCTCTATTTATGCAAGTAATTTTTTATTTTTTTATTTTTAGGTGCACCAAGAAGATTTAACGGTCTTCTCACAGAGCACCGCGGAAGTGCATTTAACCAGGAAGTTCACGTCTCCTTCCTTACCGTGACGCGAAAATATGTCCAGAGCTCGTTTTGAACCTGGATCTCTTGCTAATAAAGCAAGCGCTGTAACCATTGCGCTACGGCCGCAATAAAAGTTAAAGATCGTTAAAAAAAAATTTGGAAATTTTGATAGATATAAACTAAATTTTTTTATAAGTATTTCCCAGTAACTTGTTTTTCCTTATCGTAATATTAGAGATTAATGAAGTAAGTTTAACTAATTCTCTTCTGATGGTATATTATATTTTATTACTAAATATTTTAATTACAATGATATCTATATCATAGTCAGAAATCTTGAAATTATGCTAAATTCTGAAGATTCGAAATTTTATCGTAACGCCGAGCGGAAACCAATCCGAATCCCTCATCTGTGTGTCCTAGAAAATATCTCTTCATAAAAATATACACATTGAATGAGAACTAGTTTAAAAAGAACTATTTACTTTTAATAACAAAAAGTTTTTCGTTAAAGCATTCTACCATATTTGATAATGAATTTTATAATCATTTTAATCGAAAGAAACAAAGATATTTTGATTGAAAGATGGCAAAAACTAAATTTCTAAAAAATATTCTAAAAACCTGATAATTTTGAAACCGGATTCTAAGTGAACGAAACATTTTCAGAAAATTATTTTTCCCTAACAGGTTTTCTTTATATTCTGAGCAATAT